TTAGTTGTGAAGTTTGTAGATGTTTCAGGTGAGGTGAATTTCACTGTAGAGTTATTCATCTCTTCTGTGTTTGTCTTCTCAGTTCAGCAGCTTATAAACACATAAAATTGTGTCAAATGGAAATGGAAAATGGAATGTCAAATCTATGGAGAAAGAGAAGTGTAAATAAACTAGCCCATTCAGACTAAGTAAATCGAGTCCAATATGTAAAATTTAAATAAATAAATACATAAAAATACAGCATTAAATCCAAATAACCAAACCACACAATTATTAAATTGCTTAAAATGTTTTATATATATTTTTTTGTTTTTACATTGCATAAGTTTACATCCATATCCAAGTAATCCACAAATAGCATTTGTGTGTGTGTGTGTGTGTGTGTGTGTGTGTGTGTGTGTGTGTGTATGCATGTATGTATGTATGTAAAAAAATATACTTGAGGCACTTCAAAACTTATAGGTCCCATTCATTTTGTAAATTCCTCAGTAATCTGACCCTTTTCAGTGGGTTCCTATAGGTTCTCTAGAACGTTTCATAGCTTTTTATATTTACAGTATATGCATTTTCCGTGTCAGCTGCATTTTTGGGTATCATATACGCGTGATGATGCCCCAAAATGCTTCCCAACCCATAAGTGCTCTCGTCAGGCACCTCACTGTTTGAGACAGCCTGTAGGTGACAGGAGAATGTAAACAAAGAACTCAAAGATGAGCAAATCAAAAAAACCCGTAGCAAACAAACATACTGCTTAATGTTTCAAACATGTTTCTTTCTCTAAAGAGCCACTTACTTCTTGTCCAGGTAACTTAAGATGGAAGATGTTACATTCCGTGGCACGCAGCTGTCCGATGCGAACAAAACAGTCACAAAACACACCTAAACGCGTCAATGTCCATTTGTTTGTAGGCTTGTAGGTTGTTTCTTCGTTCTTTCTCAGTTGCCAAAGTTTCCAGTCGGCGCAGTTAAAGTAGGCTACTATCTTGTGTTCATTAACCGGTTACCCTTTGAGAAGTAACGCGGAGCTCAGAAAAACTTTCCCAATTCCAGTCGCACTGTCATCTTTCACAATATCATGAGGAACCCAGAAGCTTTTAGAGCAACATATTAAAAAAAATCAGCATATCAGCCAGAGGAACAACATAGAAGAGGCATTTAGTAAGGGATCAAGGTAACGAACAGAGAATTACGTAAATACCTTCATGTGGTGCATTAAAGGATTCTAACCAGTATTTACACCCATGAGCACATAAACTGAGTTACTAATCAATTCCTTATTCATTTTCTCTGGCTTAGCATCAAAAAACATCCTCAAGTTCACTGAGCAAGGATGCTAATGAAATGCATTTTTTATATTTCAACCGCTACAAGCACAGGACGTGAATTTCGAAACAGCCTTAAAATCATAACCATTAAGAGCCTTTTCATGTTTTGTGCAGGATTTTGAGTGTCCCACACATCAAGCATCGCTGTTTGATACCAGAAACCACCAAATGTTGTACAGCCAGGGCAGTATTTCAGACAAAGTTCACTTTACAAATCAATAAATGGACTGATTAAAGGACCAAATAAACCACACATTCAACAGTTTTAGCCTCTTTTATAATGCCTGATGTGTCTTGAACTGTGTACCAACTGCAATAAAACTTCTCCTCTGAGCTAGATTAAAAATAGTACTATTAGAAATAGTACATAATTAATGCCCTCTCTTATTCTGCATTTGTAAAGTTTAGGGTTAGAAACCTACAAATTATATATCTGACATTATTTCTGATCTGTTATGCCTTTAACTTCAGATTTATAATTCATTATTTTTTCAGTTGGGGCTGTGAATGAATAATAAATTGGTCCGGTGAACATATAATGTGCATTTCGAAATGTCACCTCATAGTCCTCTAAAGTTGCCTGCTGAGATTGTTTTAACAGAAAACTGATCATTCCTGAGCAACTTGTCATGTGGGTGTAAAGTGGACAATGAAGGCTGATATGGGAACCTCATGGCATCTATGAAGACGCAGGACCTTGTGGACCACTGACCCTGAGACAATGGCTGTAAGCAGCCCACCAAAATAAGACTTGGTAAAAACATTATATGTAAAAATGAGATACTGGTGGCACTTCAAAACTTATAGGTCCCATTCATTTTGTAAATTCCTCAGTAATCTGACCCTTTTCAGTGGGTTCCTATAGGTTCTCTAGAACGTTTCATAGCTTTTTATATTTACAGTATATGCATTTGCTGCATTTTCTGCATTTTTGGGTATCATATACGCGTGATGATGCCCCAAAATGCTTCCCAACCCATAAGCAGGCACCTCAGGCACCTCACTGTTTGAGACAGCCTGTAGGTGACAGGAGAATGTAAACAAAGAACTCAAAGATGAGCAAATCAAAAAAACCCGTAGCAAACAAACATACTGCTTAATGTTTCAAACATGTTTCTTTCTCTAAAGAGCCACTTACTTCTTGTCCAGGTAACTTAAGATGGAAGATGTTACATTCCGTGGCACGCAGCTGTCCGATGCGAACACAACAGTCACAAAACACACCTAAACGCGTCAATGTCCATTTGTTTGTAGGCTTGTAGGTTGTTTCTTCGTTCTTTCTCAGTTGCCAAAGTTTCCAGTCGGCGCAGTTAAAGTAGGCTACTATCTTGTGTTCATTAACCGGTTACCCTTTGAGAAGTAACGCGGAGCTCAGAAAAACTTTCCCAATTCCAGTCGCACTGTCATCTTTCACAATATCATGAGGAACAAATCCGTTAGTATTCCAGAGTCAGACGCGCTGCCTCTCTGTACGAGTCCAGTCAAGTGTTTGCAGGTGTCGGCTGTGCTGTGTGCTGTACCTCGCCCTCTCTCCACTACCTCCCTATTAAAACCAGGCAGCCGTGTCAGTGTTAACCAGCTCCCTGCCAGCACTCAACTGCACAGAGCCCCCGCTGCCTGATTGAGGCACTGAAAGAGGGATTGTCATCCAGTTAATAAACCAGGCCTCTTAGTTAATCTTACAAAGAGGGGATCATTAATTATAAGCTAGTACATGAAGTTCCCAATACTGAGTCCTATTAACTTAGAGTTATTACCCTTGGTGTCAGGTTGCATGGGTTATAATAAACCTCCTAGTCTGGGTGAGGCCTCATATTTAATTCTCTCTGATGTGAAACAGTGCAGGTTTCTGTCAGCGGCTCTGACACTCTGGCGATAATAGTCTTATCTTCTAAGGGCAGATATGTTGAAATGAATAGAACTCGGAAAAGATTACCATTTTAACATTTAGCCAGTAATTTTGGTCTGAAATTATGTCGATATTAATTCTGTGTCGTTTCTATTATAACACTGCTTTGGACTGTTCTGAAAACAGCCTGACAAAGCTGCATTATTGGGGTTTTTACCTCTGACTGTGATTATATGTTGGTGTTAAATGTAGCTTTACATGAGCCTTATGGATTGAGCTGGGGGAAAAAATCACTATAAACAACAGATGTGCATCTCACAGTATAGCTGTGTTGGTGTGATTCCAGCAATTGTCTGTACACAGTGAACGTGAAACTGCGGTGTGATGCAATCTCGTCCAATTAGCGGATAGGTTATGTTTAATGTACATGTTGATCGGAACTCAGTGCAACGACGCAGAAATAGAAACCAAGCAACCAACAAAATGTGTCCTGGCTCTTTAGGACAAAAATGGAAGAAATTATTACTTCATCATGCTACATCTGATGTAAAAGATACAAAGATAAATCAGGTTGGGTTTTGCTTTTGAAAAGCTTAGCTTCTGTATTTATTATTATTTTTTTTTTTAATTAAAGGTAGGAAAATGTTGTCTACAATTTGTATTTGAAAATTTTTATCAATCTAACCCTTGAATTATATGTTAATTTAGTATTATTTATATGCTATCATTGTATTAATTAATATTTTGAATTAGCTTTCATTTTTATATTTTCATTTTGATTTAGTTTAATTTTAATAGTTTTCATTTATTTTTATTTCAGTTTTAGTAATTTTAGTACTTCAACTTTAGTTCAGTTAATTGCCATGGCACTAGTTCTAAGTTTTTTTATTTAATATCTATATTTTATTGTATTTCAACTTTATTTCTTTTACCAAAAACAAATAATAACAGTGTTAGTTTCAATTAACAATAACAAAACTGCTTGTATTTTACTTTAGTCAGTCTAGCACTTTTGAGAGATGTTAAAAATATGAGAGGGACTCATCTTCATTAGTTTCTAACATTTTATCTTTTGTCCCCCTCATTATTAAATATTTGGTTACATTCTTACATTTGCATCTGATACTGTAATCACTGTCCCTCCATATCAGTGATTTTGCTATTTTCTGTATGTTGTTACAATATCCAGCACAAGCTAACAGGTTTTTGGCACATCACAGTTGAGGGGTAAGAGAGCGGAAAGAGGTGGCAGATAGAGAGAGAAAGACACTGAGGGGGATCTGACCCTGTACACAGACAGGGCAGTGCTGTCATTGTGCCCAATGTCTCCATGCAGGAATAGGGTAAAAAGTGCTCTGGGAATTCTTGAGATTCCTGAGAGTCCAGCCACGGTGGCCCACAACGAAAGAAGTAGGGTGACCAGGAAAAAGGATTAAAGACAGCATTCACATCAGGGCATTTTCAAATTCCTCTCTTACGTGTGTATGTGTGTGTGTCTGCTTGCAAAACAAACCCCATGTCTCTGTTTGGCCCTTTGTGTGGGGGTCAGTCACCCTGTTCTCCAATGGAACCCAAGACCCTTCACCTCCCCAAGTCACTCATAAGCCTACACGTCTCACACAGCCTATTCAATCCCTCACTCTTGTAGATGCTCACGATCTTACTGACAGGCGTGCTGCAGGGCTCCTCTACCTGCTGGGAGGATGAATCGATCGGTCTTGTTTGCTTTCACAAGGAGAAAATGATTTGGGACGGCCAACCGTGGTATGCAGCTATCTGGGTGAAGGGGTTTAGGGAATGCAGGCAGCTCTGTGGAAATGAGAGGTCATTCCGGCAGTGACACAGATCTAGTTTTGCAGTCGTTGACAATGCAGCAAATCTTAATGAAAAATCAGTTTTCACAAAAGGCATTTGTTTCAAGTCTTCAGACCAAATTATTTTTGCATGTTTGTTACACATTTAAAATGACTGAATTATGTCAGTTACCACATTTTGGAATAAACTCTGAAATTTATTTTCTGTGACGGTGAGGTGTGTAACCTTTGATTTGAGTCCACTAGGCCTGCTTATATTAACTAACCATGACATGTATGACCTTAGAGCCATATATTATTGCCACTGGATATTACCTTTTGGCAGAGGATGGGCTTCCACTGATGAGTTCAGAGACTGTCAAGGTTTCTCTCCAATCCTTCATCACTGATTTTTTTTCCCTTGACTCAGTCACCTTAGCTTTTTGACCCCCATCTGAAGGTTGTCCCCCCTAACAATAGGATTAAAAACCACACTGTGTATTGCAAATAACAATGTTTTATACTTTAAATAATTGTATAAGTAGTAAAACAACGCAAACGGGGCAAAAATGCATTTTAAGTTTAGAAACATTTTGAGTCTCCCCCTCCCTTGCCTCACAGTGCTTTGGTCCAAATGTCTGCTTTCCTCTTTTACATCACCTACACACACACAAGTCCAGTGAGAGAGAACAAAGTCAATAGTTGTGGAACTCCAAGGCTGTCAAGGCTATTTTATTCACTTAAACATCGGATGAAGTGATTATTTTCTCTTTAATACAGATGATGCCAATGTATTTTTCGATGAGTCGCTATGTTAGCAATAATAACATTACCTGCTTGACAGAAAGGGTTGCCTGGTTGCCAATTGTTACTCAAAACTAGCCCAAACTAACCGCGTTTCGAGGTGGTCCCCCGGTAAAAAATTGCGTTCCGGGGGCTAAAATACACGTTATTGGGGTCGCTTCAACCCGCAGCAACAGTGATTTTTGCAACTTTTTTTCAAACGGCAACTTTTTGTTACTCATAAATAATTAATACTTATGTATAGACAGTTGGAGAGATGTATTTGGTGTATTTGGTGCTTCTGTTTGCTTTGGTGTTGAACAGGA